TAGCAGACATTAAAGGTCATACAGGTAAGTGACACAAAAAGCAGATGGAAAACCTTTTTCCAAAAGGCTTTCAAGAATTTATGCCTGGCATCAGGGTAACAGTACTTTATCAATACGCAATCCCTTTCATGTTCATACACTGACTTTTTGTTACTTTTGGTCAGGAATATAATAATTATTATAGGAATTATAATTCTATACATACATGTTTCTATACATGTCTAGAAACAGGCCTTTTTGCATCATTATAAGTAGTCCACCACATTTAGAGAACCCCTATTGTAAGGTAAAGCCAGATTATCCAAATGCTAAGGAATAAAAAAACACATATTATTAAAAATAAATGCACAGTATACATCTTTTTATACGTCTATCATAGATACCGTTCTAAGGTTTTGGTGTGTTAGATTTTGGAAATAAACATCCTTATTTACTTTCAACAAAATAAGAGCTGTTAGTCACAGCTTTGGTTATGAGATTTGAGGGGAAAACTGGCCCACAGAGTTTGTTTCAATTTGCGTTCTGTGCTTTCAGATGTTGCTACAGTGGTGAGAGCAGTGACTATGATTTCAAAGAAATACTGACATGGTTAGTTTATTTGCAACTGGCTCTTTGACTAACAGACACTATGTTTGTTTAAACATTTCCATTCCTTTAAAAACTTGTGGAGTTCAAACTCCCCGACTAAGCCTGAGTTAATCTTCAATAAACACTGCAAAAATATATTGGTTTATGTTTTCTTTGCTTGTTTAAGATAAATGGGATTAAATTTAGTAATTTATGAGAGTTAATATAGTTGCTTCTATTGGAGCAGGCTGTGGTTTCTGTTTTGTGTGTTATTTCTGGGGCACGTCAAATATTTAGCCAAATTGCAGTAGTGATTTGAAATTCAGCTGCAATTGAGAACACTTTAATAAGGCCACTCAAGGTGTTTTCCATCCTTTTATACACAAATATGCCGCAGAGACCCTCACATACTAATAGTGTTGCTGATTGTAATAACATCATTACACCAAGGTATTTTAATTTGTTAAATGCATGCTGTTCCTAGACCCATCTCCACTGAATAGACCTCATTGTATTAACACTTTAAGAATTTGTTCTTGGATTCTTGTGGAGGATGACAGCTTTATTTATTATAGCCAAAAGCTAGAAAACGACAGAATGACAGAAAACGATGGGGCTAGGTCTCTCCACGCCACAGCAGTAAAAAAGAGTGATTGAGTAGTGCGGCACACAAATTGATTTGATCAACCGACAATTAAAACTGAAGCCTGAAGAAAGAGAAACGCAGGGCCCTCGAAGGACTGCAGAACAGGTACCCAGTGAATAATGATGCCAGCCTTCTCCAGGTTTTAGCAGAAGCCTGATCAGTAATTATCTAGTAGTAGATACCAGGAGAATACAATCTCAGGTTTACATAATTAAGCTTCAACGTCTGAGGACTATTTCCCTCTTTTGATTTTTTCTCTGTTTCTGTGTCTGTTAGCATAATCTTGAGAAATGATCACGATAAGGATCTTATGCCTGTGTCCAGGCCAGGTGAACATCTGGGAGGGGTCAGACAATATGCTTGATGTATGAATTACAAGGTTATAAAAAGATGGCTCCAACCAAAATCTGCCCTAGGATTGTCACTGATTAAATGCTTGTCTGGTCTACAATTGTGTCTGTTCTAAAAGCAAATGTCATTCCTGTGGGTAGCTGGAAAAAGTAAGAGGAGCTTAATCCCCTCCTTACCTCTTACATGCCTAGAACTGCCTCTGGAGCCTCTAAAAAACATTTAAAACATCAATTATTAATTTAATCATTAAAGTTGTTGTTGCTGGAGCAGGAACATCAGTCAAAGTTGGTTTAGATCACATAAACATTGAATTAACGGAACATTTTTCTTTTTTATTTTGATTCTCAAAGCCAGAAGGAAATCAGCAGTCCGCCATTTTCATCTGTCTTTTTCCTGCTTACAAGCAATGAAGTATCAAGGAAAAGGGCACAGTGAACCGGGCCAAACAGCCAGCACGCATTCTGCTTTTTATTTGTTTAATAAAACCCAGAAAGCATTGGTTTGTTGTATAAAAACTGGAACTGTTGACTCCTTTTTACGAGAGGAAGAGGAACAAACTCCATACACGATCACGAGTTTTTAAAATCTGGGTCAGAAAGGATTAAAAATGCAGAATGCCTATCTGTGGAAACCCATTTCCAAACATACAGTCTGCTTTATTTAAGGCATCTGTGGTCAGCTAGCGTGTTATAATGCAAGAGTGAACCCCAAGTGTTGGTTTCTGCCTTGAGAGCAGCGAGTAGCTGCTGTAGGTGCTGCCTACATTATTAATACAAGCCCCTTGTCTGTCAGCCATGTTTCTATCCATTGTGACAAGTCTGTTTTGGATATCGTGCATTTGCTCTGCTGGGTGAAACTAATAAGATCAAATTTGCCACATAATAACGGGCTGGAGAATGAGGGAGACTTGCGTGCCTCCGATCACCAGGTGTTTTTTTCCCTCAAACCATGCAAACAACAGGAGCACTGCACAAAACAGCCTCAGGCTAAGAGCGACTGTAACAAGTCACTGGCTGAAAACGCAATAATTATTGTCATTCCACCTTCTTGGTTAATTGCTGCTGATCCGCCCACTTAGAGCAGACTGCTAGCACGCAGTTCTGGTTTGACTCATCACAGCAATCCAATCAAGCTATTTGTTCAGAAATTGAGGTGTACTATGAGCTATTATATTCTGTCACAATGTAAAGAAAGCAGAATAAGTCAAATGAACTTCCCCACGTGATTTAAATATGTGCACCAAACCACAGCCTTCACAGTTTAATTATTCACTTTTTAAGTATCATTTCTCCAAGAAGCAATTACACAGGCTTGTTGATACAGGATCTGATTTGACTGACATTGCTAAATATCTAACATGTGAACGGAAGCAACAACATACAGTAAGCCAATATACAGTGCACGTACAGCACAATGCAGAAAATACAGGGTATGTTTGACAAAATTCAATGGAATTATACATATAATGAAATTGAGTTTTATGCAACAGGAAGAATACTATAATATATCTATATATTTAAAAAAAACAGAATTTTCTTTCCAAACATATGCTCTCCCCATATTTGTTGCTAGTAATCACATTCGAAGCAAATCTTGAAAACACTATTGCTTGCTCCCAGAGGGAGGCACAATCACCTAGTCCCACTGGTGTAGCTGCATATATCGGTGTAAGAAGCACTTCACATCCTCTGTCTCGGTGGGATTTCACTGTTTTCAGCACCTGTCTCTTCTGCAGACATATAGCAAGGAGACCAAGTGGAAAACTTCAGTCTGTGCAGCTACATGTGTCTGTGGCCATAGCAATAGAGCACAACTGTTCGGAGCTTTTCTTTTCTCGACTGCCTTTCTCTGCAGAACCTGCTTGTATTACACAAGTCACTCATTGGTTTCAATGTTTGATATACTATACTGTTGTTAGAGCTACTCCTCCATTTTTCATACATAGATTAATCAGAATTTTTTAACTAAAAAGTGACATTAAGCGACTTGATTTCCACATTTATCATACAGTGCTGAAAAAAAAAACTGGTGAAATTCTAAGGACTGCAATATCTCATATGTGAACTAGGATGGGCAGTTATCACTTTATGTCCATCATTATGCCCTTTGTACTCTGGACAAGAGGTATATATTCCAGAACATGCGTGAGGTACAAATAAATACAGCATGCTCTTTCCAGTTCAAGCAAGCTGCCTCCCAGTCTATTTTCCAGTGCTAACCCCACAGCCTTATCTCCCACACTATCATGGCAACTACCCGAAGCACCTTTTTTTCTCTTAATAAAAATAGAAATTGTATACATTCAAAATAGAATATTATATAAGTTACCAATTAAATACCATTCAATTAAAAACCAAAATGAATTCAAAATAGAAAAAAACTTTGATGATAAAATGATATAGTTACTATGGTTGGTTTTCAGTACATAAGCATTAAACTTCTAAAGAAAGGTGCACAAGAAACACATTAATCTGAGATATCAGAATGGAGGTATCTTCCATGCTTGCTTTCAGTGAAACTGCCCCATTGAGTGGTTAACATAGTTAACCAGGAATACTCTACTTGTCTAAAATGAAAGTCTCATTTTCATTCACTGAATAGCAAATATCCAAGTTGGCACCTGCTCACTCTAAGCGAAATAACCAGAAACATCCATTAACCAGAACTAACCAAAGCATGAGACAGCTTTACCTGCTAGGCAAGTTCAAAAAAGGCTACAAATATGACAGCCCTGTCAATGATGCTTTTGAAAAAAATGTGGGGATTTTTGGAATCCATTCAACATTAATTACTGTTGAGTGTGCAACCTGTTCTTAAACTACTGCAGGAAGTCTAAAAAAAAATAAATTAAAATAGGGTTTTTGTATTTTTCAGAATTTCATAAGGTCTGGTTTCAGTGTAAACTACTGGTACTTGAGGTTTGATGTTCCTGTACATTTTTAACATCTCTTTTTATGTAATATTTATTTTAAAAAATCATATGTTTTTATAGCAGATTTTGAAAAATTGTTTCAAGTGCCGCCTTTATTTGCTTTACTTTTCCAACCACTCAAACTATGACTGACACAATACTATTCCTACTAATGCAGAACATGAGGTCCATTTTGGCTACTTATTGCCAGTATAGCAAAGATGGCTACATCAAACACAGGTATTGTATTGTGAGCTCTCAATGCTACTGCTGGACAGAAATGTAAAAGTCTCCCCTTCAGAACGTGAAGCACTTTCATCCTAGTAGACTTAGCCAAACTTACCCATGTGCACTAAAAGAACTAAAAGGCAAAAAACGTATCAGAAACTGATTCAATATAGATGCATTTCCCTTCCTTAGAAATTAAATACTTGATTTCAGCGAGCCATCCCATATTAATCCTGGGAAATGTCAGGTGAAGCCATGACATGAACATTTTTTAAATACAATGAATAAACAAACGCACTTCTCAGTAACGTTTTGGTAAAATATATATTTTATTTATCATACAAAGAAATAGTATGAATGTTCAGTATTTAATTCTCTAGAAACCTTTATTTTTGTTTTCCACGGTGTAAAATTAATTTTTGATGTACATACCACAAAATACTTGATTTACATTTATTTTTCATTTTTTATATGTACAGATTTGCTATCCTAAATACCATATTACATGGGAAAGACAGAAAAAAGGGATCGCTAACATTGTAACTCTAAAAGGCTGAATAAAACTCAACCATAAATAAATGCAACAAAGTAAACAAATTACCCACAAGCCCGAGGTCTCATGAGGTTTCCTCTTAACACAAAATGCAATTCACAATCTTGAGTTCAGAAATTCCACTGTTCCAAAGTGTTAATATGATGCTTCGACATAATAATTTCTTGTAAAGTGAAAGCACTTATTTGCATGTTAAACCGCAAAATCCTTGTGCCGTTTCCTTGAGAATTACCCATGCTCTCCAACACAAGGAAATCCATTGCACTAAAGAGTTTTTTTTTTAGTTGCTACCCACTGGTTTTATGTTAATCTACAAACAGCTGTGAAAATATTTTATCGTTTCCTCAAATGGGCTGCCTCCTAGCTTAAGGTAAGGGATCACTTACTGCTGGACCACAAAGAGGCACACATTTGTCCACTGAAAGACATAAAATAACAAAATACCCTTTGAAAATGACAAAACAGCCAGTGCTTTAGTGATGCTTGTCCCTCAGTGTGAAATAATCCAGAGAGTCCTTTCTAAATAATGATACTTACATTCATTCTGGGCAATAGAAATGATGTCTTTTTTCAAAGTGAATGCAGTGAAATTATTTTCCCAAATACTATCAAAACAGTGTCACACATGACAGAAGCAGATTGTTGTTTCACTAATTCTTTAGCAGCAGCTGCTCCAAATGGAAAAGGTTAAGCGTGCAGAATGTGTCATAACAAAATATTTTTGCCATTTGCATATACAGTATTCAAGTAGAAAGGCAAACATAATGCAGAACGATTCAAGCTTTGCGTAACTGGAAAGCCGAGTTCTTCAGACCAACATATTCCGAATTTGGCAACAAGCACATCATCCTTTTCACCAGAAAACCCCATTACATGTCTGAAAATAGATAAGCAACACAAAGCCTGCACCGTAAATTGTTCTGGCTCTAAAACTGAACTCGACTCTAAAATAATTCAGCAGAATCAGCAGTGGAGGCTTCTGGACAAAATCCACTTGCCCTATCCTTATTCGTCTTGCTATTTCTTTTTTAAAATCCATTACCTATGATTGCAAGTCTAAATTTCTCCACTTATCACTTCAACCACTTTCCCATAAAACACCACTGATTTCATGACACTCGTTACTATGTGGCCTCATATGAATCCAACAGTGACTGTAAAGCTGCCTCCAAGTCAGTGTATACACAAGGCTCCAATGATGTTTTCAGGAGCAAGAGGGCGTTTGATCAATAGGATCCTGAGACTGCAATCTGCTTCTCCATTTATCTGTTTTTAACCCTCCAGTTGGGGGGGGGAGACAATGCAACAATTGCATTGCAATGCTAATGTTGCAGTCTCGCAGATTCACGACCTGGAATACCAGCTCTGTGCAAGTGTCTTGCTGACACGCAGTTGTGCCCCTCTGTTCTTTTAGAAGGGTGCTAGTTTACGGGAGGTGGGGGGTCTTCCTTGCTTCAGCTGTGTCTAGGACAAGAGCCTAAAAGCATGGATCAACTGGTTAAGTTGCATTATACAATTAGCATAATGCCAGCATGTGCTGCTCTGTCACCAAAATGCAATTTACCCTTTGATAAATCACAGTTTGATTGCAAAAGGCCCTGAAGTTCAGCACAGGGGGAATATTATTCTTTAAACTGAAATTTCACTATAAGTAGCAATTGGTCTATTGATCTACTTATTAACTAAAAACGCATATTATGCATCAGCTTATGCATTAGCTGAGACCCCTTTGGCTTAGCTAGGTGTGCTCTCTATCGTTTGGGGTCGGGCTATTAAAAATGACTGACATACAGTACTACCCAAACAGAACCCAAACACTACAAATGCATCTAGAACAAATCCAATTAAAATATACCACCTTGTTTTAGCATTAACATAACATCCTTAAATGGTAAAATAAGAGTGTATAAAACTGCAAAGAAAAGATCTGGGTAATTTTCATCAAAAAACTAAGTACCATCATGATAAAAAATGCAAATGCATTAAAAAATGATTTTCACTGTCTGTGAATGCTGAATACCCGTAACACAATACATTGTGCTTTTCTTCTCCTTTGATTTTGTGTGTTTTTTTTCCTTCAGCCACTAAAGATCTTCTGCACTTGGAAGCACCGTTAACTCAAAGGAGTTTATCAGGATTGTGAAAGAAGAAAAAGAAAAATATTGTGGAATGTTCAAGGAGCAACATGGAAAGTGGGCTGGATGTTATATATAATATGGTTAGGCAGCTTAGTGAATTAATTGCTTAGAAATTAAAAATAAATTATTATAAAATAGATTTCTGTACATTTTACATATATATAGCAATATCTCCACAAATCTTTTGCCAGAATATAAAACAAATTGAAATGATATGTTGTTTTCAATCCCATCCAAAGTTATGGCCAGTCATCTGATAGAACTTCATGTTGAAGGGTCTGTAAAAGTCCCGAAGTCTCTGCACCACCTCTGGGTCAATATTGGGGTGGGTCCTGCCTTTCGTTTTGCCCAGGCAGTGGGGTTTGCTGCTGCCTTCAGCCTTCTTCAGGCAGGGGAAGCCCTTGGTCTGGTTGAAGTAGAAGTGTTTGTCCGTGATGATCCTCTTGAGGCCCAGGAAGTCCTGGACTCGGCCCAGCTCTCCGGCCGGGTCACTGATCAGCCGCTCCCCGCTCACGAAGAGGATCTGGCCCATGGGGAAGTACTGCAGCCAGTTCTCCAGGTGCTTGGCATAGATGCCAATCTGGATGGCACTCCAGGAGGTGTCAATCAGACCCGTAGTCCTGTTTTTAAAGGTCAGGCTCTCGAAGGTGGGAATGTCGGGCTTCTTGGATAAAGTCTGGGTGTAGTCGGAGATGGCCCTGGTGACGGGGTCCCGCACCACCACGATCAGCTTGGTGTCCCGGGACATTGCGCAGATCCGAGCCGGAGCCTCCCGGGTCACAAAGTAGCTGGGGGTCTTCTCCATGGTGATCTGGCCCTCCAGGGTCTTAGGCATCAGGTCTCTGAGGGGGAGGAAAGAAGAGATGGAAAGGGTGTAAAGGGGAGGGCATTAGGGATATTGGGCTTTGATAAGAAACACCAAACAGGTTGTGAGTCAGGTTATTAGCATTTCAAAGCCCTTTTCAATACTGAAATGCAAAATGCACCAGCAGAAAAACAGATGGATTCCATTTGTGGCAATACAATAATACCTAACATATTGCATCACCCCACAATACAATATAATGCAAATGGAGACTGAGATGGTTTGAGGAGTAAATCTGAAGAAAAAAAATGCAATATTTTGTCTTTATTCTGTTGTTGACAGAGGGAAATCGGGCACTGTGGGAATTACAGTGATTCAGACCCTGCAAGAGAATTGAGATAAAAACATACATATAGCACTTTACATGTTAATATTTAATATAGATTGGAAAATGTTTTAAAAGGATCTAAATGTCTAATTGTGAGTAGCATCTCCTTTTGCTATTCTTGGCATACATTTGTATTCCAGAGCCATGAACTTAAGCACTTAAAAAACATGATTTGATGATAAGTTAATCAGCGTATATATTATAATTAACCATATATAGTATATATGTATATACAGGGTATACGGAAATTGTGTTAATTCAACGTGTGTTAACTACCTATAAGAAATATGGGAATTATATCTTGTCACTTCTCAAAATAACTGTGAACCATCAAGGGGCTGTTCACACTGACCTACAGCGCAATGCACTATGCAAGCTGCACAAAGAACACTGTCTGTGTCCTCCCGGGCTCCCAGTTGGACTCCCTCCTGACAACAGTTTTGTCTCTAGTGCTAGAAAGTTGCTGGCTTATCCTAAATCCATCTTGGCCTACTTCAGCCATTAACCACTTAAGGCACAGTAAAGGCTTATGTGCCTTTTAGGAAAGTCCAGCTGACTCAGCAAGCTGTGTTGTTAGCAGGAAAAGCCAGCCAGAGAAATGCACACACTGAACCTCCTTTGTGATATATCAGAAGCTCAATAAGTCTTCTTGCTAGAGATGCAAATAAATAAAAGCATTCTTTGTCAAATGTGTGTTTTCACTGAATAGTTCATTGTTTCACTCTAGTAGGTTAATTGGTTTATTAACTGTTTTAAATGAAGTAATGGGTACACATTTAGGTGGAAATTCTCTGAATTGAACCAACTATTTTGTAAAGCCTGTTAAGGACAAACAGCCTAACAGTCTGCTCTAGTGTGTAACATGTTACATGCATAACCCTTTAAGTTCAAGACCCTATCACCCCTAATATATGGGTGAAGACCCACAAAATAACTGTTGTTTAATTGAAGGGGGGATGTGAATAATAATTCAAAATAATAAAGAAAGTCAAGAAGCATTGATTGAATTTATATGACCAGTTGTATTAAATTAATTTTAATTGCAACACTGCAATAAAGAACCTGAACATGGACTGTATGTCATATTCCTCTAATATGACAAATGAACGTGGGTCTGAACCCTTTCTAGGATATATATTAACACAATTGCTTCTGGTCCAAGAATGGCAGGGTCAGATTCTGCACAGAGATAACAAGCCCTCAGTTCACACCGACTGAGAATGACGGAGGCCATTCTGCTCTGACAAGCTACACATGACAGGTGGCTGCTGTTTTCTAATCCAATCTCTCGGCCTTACGCCTTTAGGAGAGCTTTTTGTCTGGGTCTGGTTAATCTGTTGACACTTCTCTGTGAGAGCGATCGGCAGGCTTTGTCAGGGGGAAAGAGTGGAGTATGCAAACAGATAGCACACTTTGTCATTCTGTTGTCACCAGCCCCTCAAGGCCTGTACCGCCAGGCTCTGTGCTATGCAACTGAAATGCTAATGTAGCTCTATGTGCCACTAATGCAACTGTGCCAGAACCAAAGTATTGTTTTAGTATTGGCCAAAATAATAGCTCCGTTTCTCACAATTCAGTTCATATTCTACATAAATATCCATCCTTTTTCATGCTTTTACTGTAGACCATTTACTCCTGTAAGGCATGTAGGTATACAGAGGTCCTTCCACCCTGGACAGAATACTAGTTTATTTCAGGGCCAAGGAGGAAGAGACCGCTTAGAACAGCTAATCAAACCTAGGCAGCACGTCCGCAGGAAGAAACCACACAGTGGATTAGACGCACTCTGAAAGAATGTGCAAACTCCATCTCAACAAACACTCCACCCCAGAACTGAACCCAAGGCCCTGGAGCTGAATAACATATATAGGATTTGTAACCAAATTGACTTTATATACAAATATTATTATGATCATTACTACTGCTAATTATAATAGCTCTTTAAGGTTAAGATGTAAAAATGAATTCTAGATTTGTTAAACTCTGTTCCTTTGTAGAATTGGATCTAAGACAAGCTAGTGCTGTGTTTGTAAATAGCATTGCATTTCTTTGTCACTTCACACCTTTGACTTTTAAAACCTCATGGTATGCATATATTGGTTAACTTAATTTTCCAAGTTAAGATCATATGAATAAAGGAGAATGGAGTGGAAAAGTCAGTTGTGTTACTCATATGCGCTCTGCTTCCACTTTCTACAGCCATCACACCCTATTTAACAATCAGCACAAGGATGCATTTTCTTCCACAAAAATGCATGAAAATTACAAGGCCAGCAAAAAAGCAATTTGATAACATTATTGCAGCTTCCACTCACTTTTCCCAACACCCATTAGAGTTCCAAGTTCCTAACAGTGGAAAAGCCCTGTACAGTAAGAAGACTAGTCTGAGAATGATGTGCTGGAAAAAGACTTAGTTGAACTGAGAATCCATGCCAAGAAATGAGTTACGATGTTTTGCTGGTCTTTCATATCAATAAAATTGTTTGATTTCTTTCTGACAAATTACCTCTGCTGACATTGTAAAGGGGCAGGCTGCACACCCAAGCACCACACAGACCTTGTGGAAAACCCCTTTTGACAACAAGGTTCGAGTTCAAAATACCCAAGGCGGTCTAAGGTAATTAATGATAAGCTTAATGGAAATTTCTTGGCAGATAACTCCAGATCAACAGCTTTTGCAAGACAGAGCCAGTCGTCTAATTATGACAATATTGCACCCTTAATTGCTGCATCAAAAGGAGCACAGGAACCAGGCAGGCCAGGTCCGAGTTAAGAAAGCCTCATCTCCTATAACTCAAGCCTAGAACAGCTTTGCTTTAAAGGTCAAACCAGTACTACTGCATGAAAGAATCCTATTGTATATGAGAAGGGAAAAAAACATTTCTATGTTTTTCCTGTTGGACCTTCTCACGAAAGCTGCTGTTGTGTAGACTTGGCACTTATTCTTTGTGCCTAATAAACCTGCATGGAAAACAACATTAATTATTCATTTACTCCAATTAAGAGAATAGCGTCACAGAGTCAGTATGGCTATGACTCCGGGGAAAGAATGGAGAACATTTAGATATATATTCCTGCAAGCGAATGCAAAATTAGAGATGATTAAATTCACGTTCTTTGTTTTTTTTTTCCCCCTTCAAGTTTCACTGTGCTGCAGCACAGTGAAAGGTGCCTCTGTAACATGTTTGTTTTAAAAATGCTGAGTCATACGGTGACGCAGGGCAGCAGAACACCAAATTCCATAAAATGGGATGAATTTCCAAACACCTTTCCTGCCTTTGATGGGAAGTGCTTTACTAGGGGGCTGAAAAAACTGTCCTCCCACAACAGGAGACTGGCCAAGTGGCAGACACACCATGCGCTCAGATCTCTTCGGTTAAAGTCAGCCTTTGGACTTTATCCATTCGTTCTAATTGCAGGAGAGGGAAGGCATATAAAGACCCTAAAGCCGAAAAAAGCCTCAGCTAGTGTTAGAAATGGGGGTACCTCCCTAGGACACAATGGCTATTAAACCCGTATGATTTATGAGGTATCCATTTAAAGCATTCCATCAGCAAACTGCCATTCTCTGCACAGACCTTTCCTGAACCCATTGTCTTGCGGCTGATAGGCGAATAGCTGGTTTAGGCTAATGAAGGGTGCTCGTTGAAGCTGAGTACAACACTTTCTTGACATTCCCAGGCAAAACAGATTCCTGGAGAGTTATCAAGAGCACTCTTGAGAAAAGTGTGCTGTTAATGCCAGGATCACAGCTGTTTCCTAGTCGGTTCTCCTTCAGTTCTTCACGTTTGTTCTATGCCATGTGTCTGCAGAGGGAATCAGGAATGTCACTGTTGTGAAGCAGCCCCGCTGAACACCCTTTAAAAAGAAAACCTTACTTAAAGATGGCCAAACCTTTGTTTTTCCCACAAACATACTGTAAGTCTGGATGAAGTATTCTTTATCTTTGAAATACAGTGTCACAGCAGAAAAATTAAAAGAGTTTCATAAAACACAAACAGACAAGGAATTCCTTGCAAAACACACGTACACCTTTTCAGGCATGTTTCATATATATATTTACCCTTTTCAGCTCTTTGAAATAAGATGTATTCCAATATCTATTTCTGTTCACAATATGCATATCAAGACATGAACATTAAACTGAACGACTTTGCCTTTAAAGTGTTTAAAGATTCCTTGTAGAATTTTTCAGATCTGGACCAAGAGGGAGAAAAATATTAAAGAAAATTGCAAATTGGGTCACTATAACATTTAACTTTACAATGCCTCTATAGAAGAATAAGAAATACAGTTTTAAAATAACAAATTAAGATTATCTTAGTATATCTCTGCATTATGCAACTTCACATTTGTGCAATCATATTCTAGATGTTGAAAAAGGAATGTATTAACTAACGGATCCATTTGTCTTTGAAGACTGAAGTGTAGGTACATTCACAGAAGTCTTTTGTTTTTTTTCCTGTGATCCTATGGTGAAGACTTTAAAGATGTTATGGTTTAAAAGCAGTTCGCCTAGTGCCTTTTAAGTGACAGGTCTTCGTTCTCTAAATATTATTAGTGGTTTCTTCAGGCCCTGTTTGTAGTAGCCTTATCCAGCAGAGAGAGATTTGAGAGGAAACGTGTCTTCTTGTTTCAAGGAAAGGCAG